CTAAAAATGTAAATATTCCAACATATTGTTGTTACAAGTATACTCCATTATAGACCTGTTAGAATCGTAAATAATCATCCTAAATTATGGATATCTGAAGCTTTATTGGATGGTTTTTCATTTAATGCCCAATATCGATATGAGAAAAATTCCGTAAACTTTTTAATTAGTTTTTTGCGGATATGAAAGCATCAATATGTAATAAATATTTTCAGGATCCTCTGTGAATTTCTAATTTTTCGTAATAGTGCTTAAAAAAGTAATAGTGGTTGAAAAATGATAGAAACATTCACTGTAGTGATTATAATCATGTTAGTCAATCAAACCTGATATCAGCTAATATCTGTCTTTTCTTAGGACGTTCGGTTTATAATAGTTATTTATTAATAGCATACGATAATTTAGAGCACTGCTATTGAAAAAAATACTTTGTATGATTTTTTGGGTTGAATTTGAATTTTCGGTGTCCTATCCATTCATAATATCAAATATCATTGTAAAATAAACAATAATCATTGCTGTGGCATATTTTATAAATTTCTCCTTCACTTGTTTTTTTAAGTTCATATAAACTGACGTTTGTTAATCTGGCATTGATATATTCGTATATAGAATTTTATGTAAACAAGTGACCTTTAGTTGATACTGTATTTTTTGAAAAATAATTAATTTACCTTCATTTGAACTTATAAACTAACACTTGTAGAGCCTAAATGTTCATATATCTAAAATCAATCTGCAATGTTATTTTGATTGAATATAAAAATAAAATGTGCACACCTGTATCAATATTAATTTTGAAGTCTCGTGTAAACGGCCTTTGTGTTGGAATTATTGTTTTTGTTTATATTCGTAGGAAATACTTTTTGTGTCATGCATCAAGTTCATCTAATTTCTGCCTCTCTAGTTGAAGACACTCAATAATTCCTTCATCTGTTCTAAAGAATTGTAATATTAAAAATGCAAAATATTCAATTTCTAATCATTAATAGTGACAGTAGATAAACCGGAAAAAGTCACAAATTGGTCTGTTTTTTGGAATAAAAACCAAACAATTTTTGGTATCATATGTTGGACTTAGATCCCTAAATTCTAAGTAAAACAGGAAATAAACAAATATTTAGAATGTCAGAACAGCTGTAAATTCCATAAATATATGTGTGGTTATTGACAATATAATAAAGGGAATTAGCTAAAAAAGTGAAGATATTGGAACAAATAATATATAAAATTAATTAAGTATGCCAAGATGTTAAAAATAATGGTAAACTAGCATTAAATTGAATTCTGAGGACATAAATATGCGATTACTGTTCCATGTGAGAACTTTCCATATGAGAACTCTATATGTTTTGCTTTCTATAAATACGTACCCTCTCAAATGCACCTTTGCATTTTTAACTAGGAATGCGGCTGTATTATTAAAGCAACTTTTTCAATTTACTTTGACATTAAATCTTAAAAGTGATCGAATTATCATTTTAAAACTCTGAGCATTTTCATTACTATGTTACTTTTTGTCAACAATCGATTCCTTATACTAAGCACTTTTTCTTCCCGTTTTAAACAATAAATTCGTTACTCCAATTCGTTTACCAAAAATCTATTTGAATCTGTTACATATGTTGAATTAATGACAAAATCTTTCAGACGATAGATTTTATTGGCGTTAGCTTTCGCGAAAAGACGTAATTGACCCCTGTTTACTAGTCCAAATCTGTACTCGAAAATCCTTCGCTGGTCGAAGTCCCAAACTTGCGAGTGATGATCTCTTTTGAAAAGATATCGATATTCATGTACATTAGAGTTTAATTTATTTAAAGACACTGCACTAATCCGAATGCCAACAGTGGAAAATCGAAATTATCGTAGTGTTATGATGCAGAAAGTTTAAAGACACCACGTACTGCGCCATCGCTGAAATTTTATGGTTTATAGGTCAGATGAATTATCATACGGAAACGTAGCACAAATGTCAAGAAATAAAAATTCGTTCGATGAAAATTTTTACTTTCCCAATGCACATTCTGCTTTGTCTTGAATATATCGAGAAACAATGTAGTCTTCTGTCACTTGTAAGATAATAAGTTCTATTTTGACTGTCTTGTCTTTCTTTGATGGTGATGTTTTTTAAATTTAAGGTTGGCATATATTATTTTTTACTCCTAATATTCAGTAGATTTTTTATTGTATTTGCCTTTGCCGTTAATAATGAGCATTTTATTCATAAAATGCACAATTATTTATTAAAACGTACAACGACAATAATATTAATTCACGTGTTTCATGTGAAATTAAACCAATGATATTACTCTAAATATAGATTAAGTTTTCACATGAAAATCTGGCCAATCGGAGAATATTTTTAGCCTTGTTTTGACTTACGATTTGTTTTTTGAACTTTACCTTTGAATGTTACGATATTAACTCTTAGAATTTAGTAGCGATATTGTTAATTGTTTCATTATTTCTTATTTTAAGTTATTTTATCTTAATTTGCCCTTTGTACATACAATATTCGTAGAATTTGGCACAGACTTTAGAACCTTTGTTGATATTTTCTTTACAGTCTAAAGTACCTTTAATTTAGTAGTATAGTGTTACATGAAGTATATACATGTAGTTAGTCGATCACTAGTGAAACCCACTTATCGACAATGTCGTCGATATTAAGAATAGTTCAACTAAAAACAATTATAAGCCCACAGCCTTGAATTACTGCTTCATGAATTGCCCAATAGCAAAACTTTTAATCATAATTTAAAGGTAACTTTTTTCAATACCATCTCTACTCCAATTTAACAGACTCAATGTAAACTTATAGTTTCAAAATCTGAAACGAGATTCTTTGGACATTTGCCTATCTTCTAATGATGATCGAGCATCAATAGCAGCTTATGAATACGGAAATGAAAGCCTTAAAAGAAGACGAGATGAAGACAAAAAAGGGAAAGCAACACTCATAGTTCATTATCAAAGAATAAAGAAATAATTCACGAGCAGAAAGAAAGACAGAAATCTATTTTGAAGTCAGAATAGCAAAGAATGTTTGCAAGACAATGTCTTAATTGGTTTTATATTGGGAAACGGTAAGGTCACTCGTAATGCGAGGTTGTACTGGTTGGCGACAATGGTTGAAATCCCGAACGTTCATAAGCCCGAAAGATCGAAATTCTGAATGGACGACATTCCGTGATAGTGTTAGGTTAGTATCATACATTTTGGGATACTTTCGGGATGTCGTATCCGGGATTCGTTCATTCGGGATGTCATTTCATTCGGGATTTGGTTATTAGGGATGCCGTTTATTCGAAATTTTGATCATTCGGGATGTCGTTCATTCGGGATTACGACCTTTCGGGCTTATGAACGTTCAAGATTTCGTACCAGACCCACTGTTTGGAGATCATAGATTAAGGAACTTATCATTTTTTAGTATTTATAAATAAAAAATATTTTTAAGTTTCAAAAATATAACATGTTATACATCTTTCGTATGGTCATTCAAAACCATAGAAGTTATTTTTATTATTTATAAAAGATAATACTGCAATTATAGGACTTGAAATACTACTATAAACTACCTGCATAACTAAGTTATAATTGCCTCTATAACAAAGATCAAAATCCATAATTTTCGACATTTTATTGAAACTACCGCTTTAACATTAAGATCAATTTTTGGTAATCACGTTTAAAATGAACTTAACCTAACAAGCTTCTTATCAAATATAATTATTGAAAGAACAATATAATGTTTATTAACAGTTTGCCCGTAACAGCTTAATTTTTTAAATCAATTCTTACTAATTTTCATAACAATGTTTTGTCTTCATGTTAAAAGTAGATTTTAAATCAGGAATTTAAATCTTTTAAAGTTTGAATATAATGTTCTATAAGAAAAGCTTAAGCTGTTAAAATAAGAATTTTCAGTTCACATGTGTACAAAATAAAGTGTCCATAATCACCTTACAGAAAGCTTTCACATTTTTTCTTCAAAAACCATAATGTTTGCGTAAAATCAAATATTTATTTTTTAGTCACTGATTTTTAACTAACGATGTAATGTTTATATTAAATAGTAAATCAACATAATCTGAGAAAAGTTTATGGCTAATGTTTGTTCATTAACAAATTTTAAACTGCTGTGCTTGTTAACCTTTTTAGTTCGTAATTATTTAAAATTTGGAACAAAAAATATTTTATTTATTCCTTAAATGCTGAATACCTTTAATTTATCTTTTCGCGCAAAATATACTAGCATTTTTGAAGAAATTATGTCCAATAAAATCCACGTTAAGTGTAATGTGACTTCATGTCAATGAAGACCATAGTAACACAGCCAGAACTGCTTTGAATTTTAACACCAGCATAGAACATAGCCTTAATAACTTTAAATTTACACTAACATACTCCAGCCCAAGTACATAGCCATAAAATTTTAATCTAAACAATCCACAATCCTAGGTGGTGTCACCAAGAACACAGCCTTATTTTAATAATTCTAGAATGCGGAAACGACTGTGGCGATTTCTATCAATAACATTTGTGGCTCAGAAATTCTGTAATTTAACTTACTATGATAGATATGATAAAATTTTTGATGTTTAACAGAGAAACCAGAAGTTCACTCTCGCATGCGATTTTCAAAATTTTTTTTGTAATTAACATCACACATTTGGTCAATCAATAATAAATATTTATATGACTTAAAGCCCACGATTTGAGAAAAAGAAACAATTGTTTCATAATTACGAAGATAATATGATACAACTATGCTATGTGATACTTATAAATACGTCGTTAATTCCACATCTGTCTACGAAATATAATTACTGAACATGAAGAATCTTACATTAATACTTGTTTTTATTATTGTAACTTTCATTAAGTTTGCCATTGCCACAGAAATTCGAAGTGATAAAGCATCATTTCTCAAAAGATCCTTGTTCGTAGAAAGGACTACCGTTTGCTCAGCCGGATATTCCAAATGTTTAAACCTAGATGGATGTTGCCCAATCGGTGAAACGTGCAACCCAGGCGGACCTCCTTATACATGTAGCGGCGGCAATGACTGCGGTGTAGGTAGTGTAAGTTGCGGAGACGGTACTTGCTGTAAGGCGGGTTCCTATTGTACCTTCGACGGTTTTTGTGATAAAACATCATCATCTTCAACAGCAGCAACATCACAACCAAAAACAGTGAAATCACAATCAAAAACTTCAGTAACACTATCAGCGACATCACAACCAAAAACAGTGGCATCACAATCAAAAACTCCGGTATCACTATCAGCAATATCACCAGCAGTAACATCACAATCAGAAACGCCGATATCACTATCAACAATCTCACGCTCACAATCAGAAACTACGGTATCACTATCAGCGATATCACCAACGATGTCATCGTCAACAGTTGCATCACAAACAGCGACATCAGTGACATCATCAGTAGTGTCATCAGAAACACCATCAACATCAACAATACAATTGACCAATCCAGCCATAGCAAATAGTCCAACCATGTCATTGATAATAATTTTAATTGTTCTAGTTTCTCTGAATTTAGTGTAAGATGTACTATTTATACATTTTCAAAATTCTGCACATTTATCCAGTTTGCAAATGCAATATTCTTAAATTATATGAAAGTCAAATATCAAAATTCACTTCACTGTGAGCGTTTAAAGATAAACTTCCCACATCGAACATTTTGGCTAAGGGATGGTTATTTTTGTAACTTGATAAATGCCAGTATTCATCAACTATGTACACATGAATTCGTAAATGGATTTTATTAATGATAGAAAAACCAAATATTAAAAGCTGATTTCCGAATAAGTTATATATAACAAAGAACACAAGAAATTAATATTTATAATTCTTAATATATTGCTTATAAATACATTTCATGTTCTTAATGTCATTTGTTTTAACCAATTTCTCATTTTTAATTATATAGACAAGCCTTCAAGATTATGAAGGCATTATTTTTGCTATCTAAATATATTTAATAATATATTTAATAAAAATAGCGTATTGTTATTGCCACTTCCCACTTTTAATCCAAAATCGGACCAAATTTAGAATTTTTAATTTTGGATTCTGAATTTCATTACGTCCGAATCAGGATAAGGGTAAAGATACTGTATTGGATGAGAGAAGCATTATACATAAAATTGCCTTCCACATTTTTAATTAATAGTCAAAAGCTAGATTTATGCATTATATTCTCGTATTACACTTTTCATCTCTTTGTCAAATTTGATTTGTATTTGTTATTATTGTCGACAAAAAATTGGACTCCTATTGAATTACAAATTAGGAAATTTGAAATTCACTGATTATAAATATATCTCGTAAAGATCACCTTGATTCAGCACTGTCCGTAAACTTCCTGATTGAATTGACCATTTCCAATCACGTGGAAAGGTGGCAATAACAAAAAGTGTAGAGTGATGATAATAAAAATACTCTTAATTATTTATATTCAGTTATAAAGACATAATGGAATGATGATAAAAATTTGGTTTGGTTCGGTTTGTACTGAATTGAATAGCAATTTAATTGTTAAATCGGAAGAATAAACATTGAATAGTATCATATTCCTTGGACGAACATATTAAAATTACATAATTACAATTTACTCCTAGTTTTTGACTTTATTTCAAGACAAGTTTTATAACCGATCGGAGAGTAATTAAGTCACGTGAAAATTTTGTTAAACCAATCGTTTTTAGATTGCCGATCTAAGCGAAATATTCAGCATAACCCAGTGATGTTCATGGACATGGACATAGGTTGGACTGGACAGTCCATGTCCATGTCCAAGACAAAGCTTATGTCCAAGAAAATCTATATGTCCAAATATCCAAGATAAAAATGTCAGATATATTTTTATTAAATCAAAATGGTAATACTAATTCTTTAAAAAGAGACATTAATTCCCATTTTGCATTAGTATCTACTGCAGGATGAGTTATATCTTCTAACGAAATGTCTTCATCCCCTTCTTCTATATCTTGTCTTATAAATTATAATTTTTCTTCTTCCAGCATATCTGCCCACCCTTGTAAATAGTTACCAAATTCTTCTTCAATATTAGATAATGGCTCATCAAATTCTTCATCCTCATTGGTTGTATTTTCAAAGAAATCTTGATTGGATATAATATCTGAAGTAGATGCTTCAATTTCATCTTGAGTATTTGATTGGATGGCTATTGAATTCATTGAATTATCTTGAAGTTGATGATAATATATAATATCTGCATGTAATTTGCTTATTTGCAAAGCTTTGGGTAGACTAATAATTAAAATATTATATTAATTTATTATTATATAAATTATTATATATATATAATTAAACCTATTATTAATTGATCGTGACAATTGGTATGAATAAAACTCATATAACTTCAAATCATTCTATAGCACTGCATTTGTACATATTCCAAAAATTCGACTTGCAAAATACCAATAATGATAAATACACCTGAAAATTAGTTTCATTGCTATATCAAAAGGATATTTTCTTAGATGAAAATTGTCAAACTCTTTGAAATGCATTTTGCTTCCTTTCCAAATCATGCTTGCTTGATAGCTATTTGTCAAACTCTTTGAAATGCATTTTGCTTCCTTTCCAAATCATGCTTGCTTGATAGCTATGGATCAAAATTCGTATAGTTGATATTTGTATTAAATTTCTTCATGTGATAATTAGGGTGTAGAAGGCAAGCTAAAATTAATAAAGGTTATTTCCAATCATGCCATCGATATTCCAGTCATGATATGAATTGAGTATGAAGTTGTAAATTGTTGTGATTTTTTCAAAATTGGACAAGATAACCCAAACTTATGATAACTTGATGTAATCTTGCTGTATTGGATTATAATATGTTCAAATAGTATAATAAGATTGGAGAATATCAAGCAAATGGTAGATATTGGTCCAGAAATTTATAGAGCTGATAATCTCATATATTTTGCATTTCAATTTTGGTTCAGCTTCAGAATGTCGATGTGCGTGATTCAAATTTGATTGTAAATATCTTTCAATAATATAAAAATAAGTAAATATGTTAATATTATTTACCTGTAATGCTTTTTATGATCTTGCAAGACTTAAACAAACAGTATAAAAACTGTTCCATCTTGTTTCTCCCGATGCATCAATTGTAAAATACTTTCCATATTCAGTATATTATTCATCTCTTAATTTTGCGATAAAAAATTTGTGATTTGGATTCTTGAAATATGTTGCAAGATGGACTGCTTGGTCAATTACCACTTTTAAATCAGTTGACTCTTTGTAAATCTCACCAACACACAAATTTATTTGATGTGCATAGCATGATAAAAAATACAATTGATCAGTTTGTGATTCTCAAACAACATCTATAAAAATAACTAATTAGCTTTATTTATTTAAAAAAATAAAGATAATAAGTATATACCTAGCTGCTGCATATGCTCCTGCACTGTCAGTTACAATCGGGATTACATTAATTTCTTGTGAATTCAATTTACTAAGCATTTTGTTTGTTTTTTCCATTACTTCCACGTGTGTTCATGTTTAGAACTTGTATTCATTGCTTTCCATACATGTGGTCAGCCATCTGATGTAATTATTACTGTTCCCTGCAAATGTTCATTTCGAACATTAGTCCAGCCATCAAAGATGAGTGAAATACCAATTGGATCTTCTTTTAGTATAGTCAACATTACCTTTTCTGAGTCTTTTGTTGCTTCATTTAAAATGTGTCAATCAAGTAATGTCAGCTTGGAAGCTTGAGAAATGGGTTGAGAAATTCAAATAATTCAGTTGTTTCAGGATTCTCAATCCATTGTAAAGCCCATCCACAGGAAATGGTAAGTCGTAAAAGAAGTTGGTGAAGTTGTTTCATGTCTTCGGATGATAGTGATCTAACGATATAATTGTCCATTGGCCCATATGATGAAGTTCGAACAAGTACCTTTGAAACTGAAGAACGTGAAGTTGTAGATTTGGTTTCATCGGTAGAAATACCAAGTTCTATAGAAAAAAAGTTTGTAAGAAAAAAATGTAAAATCAAAAGTTATTACAGTAATTTACCTTTTCTTTTTCCTAGAGATACTGGGTTCAACAAGTTGATAAATTTCATCCCGTTATTGAGGTGTCGTTTCCGTAGCAAATTGAGCACATTTTTTAAAATGTGCTATTATTCGGTCTTTTTTATTAGGAAATCAGTGATTTAGTCTTAACACATGGTTTACAATAAACTTTGATATTAAATTTGTTGATTTTTTCATGTTACCTGATTGGACATGTCCGTTGACAATTGTGTCACTGGACAATCATTTGGACGATTATCGTCCATGTCCAATTATATCGTTGGACATTGTCCATATAATATCATCGATGGCATAACCAACTCGTAAACTAGGTCTATAGGTATTTTACCCGGTATTGTCGATCACGGAATATTATACTGTAATATACTTAAGATTATGTCAAGTAGAGATGCTAGGTTTTAAGCTTTTTCTATATTTTCACTTCAATTATTTGTCTATTTTTTTTGCCAGGTTGATCGAAAATTTATAAAAATTCGCGTATTCTTATTGGCTACTAATAAGAAACCTGGTGATGCGGTCAATGACATCCCCCGGAAAAATCTAAAAAACTCAAATCTCAATTTAATCCGACTTTTTAATAGTACTAAATATTTGTTTCACAAATAAATAAATTTAAATTCACAGTATAAAAACTTTGATAGATTAAATTTTTTAGATTTTACGGGATACTATAGGTGCTATTCAGATTGCAATGTCATATCAAATATTTCACTGTAAATTCGACATGATGAACCTGACATCTGAGTTTACCTTGTCAAAATCCAACACTAAAATATTTAAATGTTTTATTTTTTGCCTGTACTTTGGATTATAATGAAACCTTTTCTGCTCGAACCAATGATTATTTGATATTTATAAATTTAACTTAGAAAATAAATCTGATAGAATTAGAGAATATAAAATTTACGCCAATTTAATAGTTATTATATTAATTGGAATGATTTGCTATATTACCTATATAATAAATATAAATTTATTTATAAATTCAATATTATTTTTCTATCATAGTGCGCTGATTAAAAGACATAGAAACTAAATATTCAATTTAAAATTTATAAAACATCGGGTCTTCCGATTGAAGGATGGGTAGCGTATAATTTCAAATCTTTTTACATTAAATAATTCTAAAAATTTCATTGTAAATTAAATGGTAATAAACAAGAAATAATAAAACAAACCTGCTCATTAATATAATAAGTCAACTTATAAGTATGAAAGAAATGACGATCAAGCAAAGTAAATACGCCAAATTCCGTATCATAAGGTGCAATTCACTTAGTAAAGCTTAGCTTTAAAATTTATCAGTATCTTTTCTTTAGTAATTAAAAAAATACATAAATGAATCAGAAAATTCTGGTTATCAAGATAATATTCTGAATTTTATATGTATGTTTATAAGATTGTGAATTTTGGCCGCATAGCATTATATATAGTGCGGCGGACCGTAGTTACAATTAATATGAGCGAGAAATTCACAATAAATACAATACATGTACATGTAATAATGTCAAAATTCATATGAATGCCTTATTTGATATTGATCTACAACTGAAATTTGTCACCGGCGCAGTAATTATGATGACTAAATAACCCGTTTGTTTATATTTAAACAAATAAAATGTCATTTTAATGCTTAGATAGTGCCAAATAGTTCATGCATACGGGCTTTGCCATACATCTTATACGCAATGTGATCATTGGACAGCTTTGGACAATTTTTTAAGCAATATCCTAAAGTTTATTATGATAATTGGATTGAACAATCTAAACAATGTTTAGATTCAACAATATATATAATCATAATTTTTTTAAAATATACAAGAGTTTGGACAGCTTAAACTTGGACAACTTATATGTGCCATATTGAACTGGTCCATTTACTTGCAACTGTACATGTAATTTTGTCGTAAAGAATAATTTTATTAATCTCGTTTCGTAAAGGTAATAACAAGATTCTTTTCCATTGACAATGTGATCTCTTTTTCTAAGTAAATTCTACGCTTGTTAAAAGAGACATCGAATAATTAGTACCTCATACAAATAAAATTAATTGATGCTTTAGTTAAATTAAAATACGCAAGCTTGACAATTTATTTTTCAATTGCAGCTTATTACTGCTTGTCTATAAATAAATCATTTTAATCAATTTTAATTTCCATTTATCGATGACGAAAATTTCAAATTAATATTACCTTGAGAAATAAGAAATTAAATACACAAAACTATATCTTAACAAATAAATATTTGAATATTTAACAGGCAGTTATTATGATGCATAAGGATTACAAAAATAAATAAATTTTAGTTGACGTGATACAAAATATTAAAATATTTTATACAAGTCTATTCATCATATCATTATGAATTGGAAAAGTACATTGACATAATACATGCATTTTGCATTATAATACATCATTATTAAATTAGTTTTAAAGGATCACTTGATCAGCATTGTATATCAGAATTTTATCGTCGAAATCAATCAATCAGTCATTCTGAAAAGAGACACACTAATTCATAACCATAATTGGTTTTAAAAATAAAACTTCATTTTCAATTCTATGCTTATTAAGCTAATAACGTATTGCATTTTTAACTTTAAACAGTGTCAAATGAGATGAATTCCTCAAAGTTATCAAAAAGAAACCAATATGTACAACGCAAATTCGACATATCTGATAGTTTTGACCATGTCTATTATAGACCATCAAAATCACGCGGTCATGTTTTCAAGTCAATTGTTGCTGCAAAGGAGGCAGGATTTATCGATTTCATTAATTTTCGTTTGACGAGATGCAAGATTGAAAGGTTATTGCAAGAGAATGGAAACTCGATCGGTCTTGACAATTTACCTAAATTATATTTTGAGCGATTCAATCGTGTTTTGGTTTATGATGGCAAATTGGTAATGTATATTATATTTTGCATTCATCCTAATTCAAACTTATCGTTAATATTTTTCTAATATTAATATTTAATATTTTGTTAAAGTCTAAAGCATTAAAATGCTCTATGCCCAAATTAAGCATTGAAGATTGGGGCAGAATGATTGTGTCATTAAAACCACGACAACAGACCGTCGATGCTCAATTTAACACACAACCGCAACAACTTGAACGAACAATGAATCACGTTTTATATTATACGTATGATACCGAAGTTGTATCTTTTGGTAGATATTCTACGAACTTGTTGAACTCCGCTTCTTCTTTAGAATCTCCACAATCTTCGTCGTCGCCTTATATTAATCAAGGTTCTTTACCTTATGATCCAAATAATCCTATTTGCGATGAATTTGAGATAATTGAACCCAGTCAAAATAAGACATCATCATCTTCTTCACCAGCAGTAATGTTTTTTTCGAACTCAACTTCAACATTAGCAAATGAAGATAACAATGGATCAAACAACTGTTACAAGACTCAACCGTCATTTTCACAATTTTTCATTCAACCTCAAGACAATGCTGATTTGAAAACGTATAGTCAAAATGAAAATCAAATTTGGTTGCATTCGACGATTTCTGTGCGAGATAACCAAATGGTCCTTTCTGATTCGGGAATTTCAAATTATGACTATGTTGACGTTGATAAAAAAATGCAAAATTGTGACATATGTGTCGAGAATGTCGAGGAAAACGATTGTGGCAGAAGCAATCGTAGCTACGACAGCGTCGATAATTTTGAAGGATTGACTGAATTGCAGCAAACCATAATTGAGTTATTGTTATTTGATTAAAGTTTTTAGTTCTCATAAAAATTTTTATTTACAAATTTTATTGTTATATATCAGAAACATTTGTTAATTAAATTTCATTTACACTTTTGGTCAAACTTGACATATTTATTCCATCGGCAACTTCATTTATATCAGTTTCTTAAGTTACTTTACATTAAGGTAAAGTCTATATGATAACAAAAAATCAAAAAGCTTTACATTCAACGATTAATTTTCTAGGTACTTAAAAATCATCCAACATGTGCTAAATAAAAATTTTCTTTATGTTCTTTTATCTCGAATAAAAAGTTTATACATTACAGTAGTTTATAAACTGCAATGACGCTTAATTAGAACGCAGTTTTGTCATAGCTTTTATGAAATTTACTAAATAAATTGTAAATGTCTTCACAAGACATGAAATTAATTTCAATGAATATATCTCTTATAAATTTAATTATTGCTATATATGATTTGGAAAAATAATAATTTTTATATAAATGCATTACAAATTAACAGATTTTAATTTTTGTTACATTTATTTATTTTTTTGTTTATCTAATTATCATTATTTCAGTCAAGAATTTTACCAAAAAAAAGAAATTTCCTTTTAAATAACGCATTCATAGTAACAAAATAATTTATATATACTAGAATAATTTCTAGCTATTTTATTAGCTATTTTTAAAAATTTATTTTTAACTAATTATCAAAATAAATTTATTTAAATATATAATTTTGAAATCTTAAGGAATTATTTCTTAATTCACTTTCTAAATTCTTTCAAATTAATTTCTTTCTTTTTATTATTCTTGAATTTTCTAATATTATATTTAATAATATCATTTTGAAAATTTCAGAATATTTAAAATGTCATGTTAAGAACTTATTTAAAATTAAAAAATTTCATGTAATTATTAATCTCAGATAACTCATTAAGAATTTATTAAAAAATAAAATTTAATATAATTATAATAATTCTTAAATAAATTTCTATTTAGAATTATTTTATCTTATTTTACTTATTTAGATAATATATATTATTTATATTTAATTTATTATAATCTTTTAATTATTATATTTATTTAATAATAAGTATTTTTTAAAAGTATTACTTCTCAATTTTTATTAAGTTATTATATATTATTTATATTTAATTTTTTATAATCTTTTAATTATTATATTTATTTAATAATAAGTATTTTCTAAAAGTATTACTTCTTAAATTTTATTAAGTTATTATATATATATAATATTAATTTTATTATTTAAAGATATTATATTTATTTTATAATTTTTAATAATCATATTAATATTAATAAATAATTTTATAAGTTATAAACTTGAATTAATATTATTTACTTTTTAATTTAATTTTTTATATAAACTTTTTACTAATTATACTATATAACAAGAAAATTATAATAATTATAATAAATATAATTATCAAATAATTTATTTTTTTTATTTATATATATATATATAATTAAATAATATAATTCTAAATATTTATATTTCTAAATAATTAAAATTCTAAATAAATAGAATTCTGACTAAAAATAATTATGAGTAAAAAAGATTTTAAATATATTAATATTAAAAAATTAAAATATTATAAAATTAAAATATTATAATAATTTAATATATTATATATAATAATAAGTATTATAATTTCTAATTTATTATTA